CGTGTCGGCAGAGCAGGGACATGCCCTGTCCTCCTTCCCTGGGGACACTGCTATCCGTCTATCCCAAGGGAGGAGACCAGACCAGCCCCGCTTGTGGAGTGAGTTTGTGGGGCCTCAGCGCTGTTGCTGGAGGGAGGGGGGGCACCCCCATCCCACTCCCCCTGCGCACAGGCTGTGACAGGGTTTCATGCTCCCTGTGTGTAGCATGGTGGGGCCGCGGTGGTGGGGGTCTCACCGTGGGCACTGGATTTTGGAGCCCCCCTGCTCCTCCTGACTCCATCCGGCCCCACTGGCAGGGCACCGAGGGGCTAAAATCCCACCACCCCACTGCTGCGAAGCATCAGGGGGCTACAGGGAGGGGGGGGAACTGGGGTGCAAAGCCTGGTCCCCCAGTTCTTGGCCATGGATGGAGCCATCTCCCGGGGGGGGTTGGCTCCTGGCCGTGGGCGTGCGGGGCTGGTGGTCAGGCAGGGCTAAGTCCAGCCTCTCCCGGGAAGACCTGGGCCACCAGCTGCCACCTTGGCCCCGGGGAGCCCCCGGCCGCAGCCCACTGCCCGGTGTCCTGCCGGGTGGGTGCCTCGCTGCCGTGGCCCCGTGCACAGCACCGGGGTACCCGGGGACCTGCCACCCCGGGGTGCGCGACGCAGGGCATCCCACGGGGCAGTGCTGGGGGCTGGCAGACCTGGGGGGTCCTCAGGGACCAGGGGCATCACCAGAGCCATGCCGGGAGCCCCAGAGGGACGCGGCCTCCGCACACACCCACGGTGGGTCCCTCCCGGCCCCTCCACGTGCGGGATGAGCAGGCTAATCCCATTTTAATCCCAGATTATGTGCCACGTGAGCCGCTGCCCAAAGCGGGCTGCAAGCATGGCCATCGGGGCAGGGGGGCCGGGGATGGACCCCCTCAAATCCAGGAGCTTTAGGGTGAGCATCACCCATCCCCACTCTAAACTTGCTGGGGGGCTCGGAGCCTGCTGGTAGGACTGGGGGCCAGGAGTGCAACTGGGTTGGCCCAGATCCCTCGGATGGGAGGATCTGAGCAGCCGGAGGAGGTGGAAATGCCCCTTCATCCCCTGCTGCTCTTGGATGGAGCCGTTGGATTGCTGCTATCCCCCCCCCCTCCAGCCAGGGAAACTGAGGCACAGAGCGGCCCTGTGTCCGTGGGAAGGGAGACGGGCAGGGTGCACCCTCCGCCCCAGCGGATGGAAAAATCCCAGGGGCCAGGCGCTGGCAGCTGGTGGCTTTTAAGGCCACTGAGGCGTCCCTCAGTGGGGCCGTGCCGAGCAGGGTGCAACGGCACGGAAGCAATGGGCCGTCAATAGCCAAAGGGTCGCTCCCCTCCGCCGGGCGATGCTCCAGTGGGGAGGAAAAGGGTGAGAAACAGGACAAAGGAGGAACCGGACACCAGGGAGCCACGGGTCGGGGACCCACGTGCTCCCCGCTGTCTCGGCCCCGCCGCTATCGAGTTGCCGGTGAGGCCCCCCCCATGTGCAGCGGTGCCTCGGTTTACCCCGGTGAGGCAGGGAGGATGCTCAGTGCCTCTCCTGTGCTGTGTGGGTTTGGCATTTGTGGTGGGAGGAAGAGGAGGAGGTGGGAGGCCAGGGCTGGGCTGGGAAGCATCAGACACCGTTCCCAGGGCTGGCGGGAACCGTCTGTTCGGGGAACTTGTGACCCCACCGTGTTCCCCCCGCTCTCCGCCGCTGGC